CCCGTATTAAAGCAAATACTTTTCTTTCAACTTGCAAAGTAAATATTTTGCTCAGCTGAACATTCAGAACCAACGGACCGAATAAATTTAAAAGTTTGCAGCCTTGATTTTAACTTTGAGGGAATCTATCACAGTCTGATTGTGGCACATTTGTGAGACTCACTTGGCTTCCATGATGCGCTTAGGTGCTAGAGAACTGTAACTGCTGCCGAATTTGTGTTTGCACCCCTTGTAGAAGTCGAACTTGTATGATTTTTGTTTAAATGTTTGAAACCCCCTGCCAACCGCTGTAGACTCCCCCCGTTCGTTCCCCCTTGCCAACAAAATAAAACTAACTTGGTTCATAGAAACTTTTGCGTTTATATAGCACCTGCTTCCCAGGCTAGGTGCGTCGGATCTCTTCTGCTGCAAATGCGATTGCAATAGAGGAGCTTCGGCGCCAGGGGCCGCAAATGCCACCCATGTATATGTATCCACCTTGGTCTACGTCCCAGCGCCGCCACCTCCAATAGTGAAGACACCAACTAACCAACTAACCAACCAACCAAGCAACCTACTAACCAGAACACCAGAAAACCAAATAACCATCAAACCAGTAAACCAACATCCCAAGCCAAGCATGTTTGACTTTGTTCGCCTAGTAAAATGCTTAAGTTTTGTTTTTTGTTGGGAACCTCGTGAGAATCCCACGGCTAAATGGCCTCTAAATGATCATCGCAGTCACTTGGGCCCTAAGTTGAATAGTTTTTGAATAATTTGGAAGGTTTCAACCGAACAAAGATTAAGAACGAAAACTTTAACTTGCAATTAGAAGACGATGGGAAAAATTAGCAAAACACTTAATGAGCCAAAATAACTGCCATTTATCGAAGCAACATTTTGTTAGGACTTTTTTCATTTTTACAATGAAAATTAAAATTAAAATTTAATGTAAACATATAAACTAAACATGGAATTCAATAAGAATTTGATAAACTATGTATCAGTGTTAAGAGTGTCATTTTTAAACTACTAGTGGAATACAAAAAAAATTGTTGCAAACGGATCCGAATATCAAATATCGAAATAATAAATTAATCTTGAATATTGGAACATTGCCAAGTGACTGCTGCAAATAATTAGCAATAAATCGAATACCGAACAATGCGTTGAAATTGAAATGAAAATGAAAAAATGAAATTGAAAATATTTATACCTAGTTGTAATAGTTGAAAACATTTCTCGGGCAGGAGAATGCTTGACTTTTGGGGAGGTGAAAATCGTAAAGCGTATTAGCGTACATATTGTGTAAGCCAGCTTAAAGAAATAATTGCGGTTCAAATGCCGCCTACAAGGCTTTAAATCTTGAGCATTAACAATATTATGGGTTCCTTTTATAATTAATTGCAAGTGTAATACGCATTAGCCAGGTAATTGAAGTTGTAGGTAGTTATATATATTATATATATATATATATTTCATGCTAAGTCAAAGCGTGAAAGCGAGTGTTAACTGATGAAAAAGTAAATTTATATACTTATATATACACAAAATATGTATGGTTAAATGTTGGGCAATAAAGTGTATCTAGCGTATGTTTAAAATTGATCCGAATGAAATGATCTATAACTATATATAAGTACTAATCCCGATGTTGAAGCGTATCGCAACCTTTCAGGAAGATCGTGAGACCTACTTGCGATCCTGAACGATTATTGGAACCATATGTATGACTCCCCCGATTCACCCCCACACATAGACACAAAGTGGAGGTCTTTGGGCTTGAAGCTTACGATTTTTAGTTCCTCTCCCCTCCATTTCCCCACTATCTTTAGGTTCCCTGATTTTGATTCTGACTGGCAAAGCGCGCACACATCCACCAAAAGCTATAACTCTCCTCTTGATTTATCGCACACTAATGTCAAACTCTTTCTGTATCTTTCAACTTGACTCTGGGAAAAAAATAACAATACTTGCAAATTTGTGTCTGTAACTATTTTGTGAAACTAACCAAACCGTAAAAAACCAAAACAAAAACTGCAATTGAGCGAAAGTTGTCGAGGGCCCGCTTAAGACTAGAGTAAAAATGCATTTTAAGCCTTAATTGGGTGAGTTCTCTCCTAATGCAAAAAACATTTAATTGTTGTATGTACCAAAATAACCGAAAACTGAAAATTTAACCAAAGCTTTAGAGTTTCGTTTGAACTTAGCTACACCGCATACATATATATCCATAACTTTGAGTTGATTTTCCTGTTGCTTAACCTGCCAGCGCGATATAGCTGATCTATATACATGATATTCGTTTGATGTTTGATTATGTTGCTCATGCCGATTCGTATCCATCAAATAGACCATAAAGGAATCACCAAAACCCACATAATAAAACACCTATCACAGTGACACCCCCAAAACACAACCAAAAAATTCAAAGTTTAATATGGTATTTAGTGATAATTTATTGGCAAGCTGCAGTTGTATACACCTAATAATTGTACTCACAACATTTTGAAAGCATGCTTTAAATTGTTCAATTGGCACCGACTTACCCACCGAATCCATTATCCATTAATTAGCGCCTATTTTCGGCCTTTATTTGCGCATACTCCTCTCAGCCGTTTGTCATTTAATTTTCCATTATCGTTGTTTATTGATTTAAGAGCTTATCAACTGATGAGTTTCGAATTAAGTTGATTTCACCCAGTTCCGAGCCACTTCCTCCGAAAGGAAGCGGATTCTGGACGAACCCGTACTGCAATTACACGTGTATCTGTTCCGTTTAACAGACAAACCCTATTTAATTTAATTACGATTTTAATTTACCGCCCTTTTTCAGCATTTATGATTATTTGCATATTCAAATTGTTTTATTTTCCCACAGCTAAACCAAACCGAATCAAAACAAACCATCAACAACCACTAGCAAAAGAGCAATAAAAACCACTAGATAAAAATGCTCTAAATTGAAATTCGAATTTTAAATTAGTTGGCAAATTTGTTGTAATGAGCATTTGAATATTTTACAAGCATTAATTAAACATACAAAAGAAGCAAATTAAATACCAAATACTAATCACAAAAATCCGTTGTGCCCTCTCTCCCCGTTTCCATGTCGTTCACAGGTAATTCCAATAGTCTAGCTCAGTTGGTGGACAACGAGATACCGCTGGCCCAGATGGACATTCCGGCCTATACCCATCAAACGGCCACCCAGGCGCGTCAGTACCGCCATCGTCATCACAAACAGCGCCAGATTTCCAATGGCGGCACGGTTAGCTATGAGAATCAGTTGGCCACCGCCAGCAGCGAGGATGAGCTGGATGATCCGGATGTGGTGGTGCTGGGCAGTCCGGAAGTGGTGGCCGCCGTTTCCGCTATAGCCTCCAATAAGGCACGCGAAATGCGCAATCGCAGCGGCAGCTATAGCAATCTTTTCGATGCTGATTTCGAGGCGGCACTGGTCAACTCTGCTCTAGCCGATGGCCATGTGAGAGCTGAAGGAGCCACTAGTTCTGGGACTCCCTCTGCTGGTGCAGCCTTACTGGCAGCTGCCATCAGTGGCCAAACGGAGAACATGTACAGCAATGTGCCCCAAGAGGCTGATGCCACCCTGCATGTGTACTCCAACATCATCGACGAACGGGAGCAGCAGCAGCGCAGGGAGCAGGCCAACAATGTGCTCTCCTCCACCCTGCTCTGCGATGATCTCGACCTGGATGATCCGGTTAGTGCCTCGTGTCATGTCAAAAGGAAATCCGTTGGCGATGGAGCAGAGCAGGTGAAGTCGGCGGAGAGACTGAGGATGCTGCACGATACCACCATGATAGATACGGCCCTGGATCTGGACAGCCTGGATGGGTCCAGCATGGGCAACAACTCGCAGTCGTGCCTGGTGAAGTCATCGGGCAAACCGAGTGCCACCTCCGCCAACGTGGCCATAGTCTGAGCGGTTCTTTTTGTTTTGTCCTGTACATAAGTGTAGATATTCATGTCATATAGGGAGGGGGGAGAGTATTATTAATTTGTCCGCACTTCTACCTGTAGCGATTTTTATTTCGTTGAACTATGTGTGATGCGGTGTTTTAAGGGGATAAGTAGAGAAACGACCTATCAGCAGGCAGATAAAATATTACCTTAACGCGTTACGCATTCAAAAACAGATATATCTATGCATATATGTAGATGATAATAACTAAAGCATTTACGGATATAAGTATGCATGTGTATAATACAAATGTGGTGAACAATGTTAACAATTCGAAGGCATTAACGAGGACAAAATAAAGGAGCAACCAGTACTATGGAGGAACTGTTTATACAATACACGACGCATACATATAAATCAATTATAAGTACATATACATAATGATAAACATTTACAATGTACGGCTAGTTATAGTGTACCTATAATTTTTGTATTTAAGTTTTTACAACAGCAGAAACAGAAACAGAAAATGAAACAGCAGGTGTCGTTTCGCAGTTCAGAGTTTAAAAAAAAAAAACCATTTGCGGTGTAGTAAGAAACCGAAGAAACAAAGAAAGCCAACTAGAAATATCCTGCAATATACGTGAAGTTGAAATTGTCAAGGGGAATGAGGAGTGTTAACAGCATAAGAGTTAAAAGCAACAATGTGGTGTATTAAATGTTCATAAATCTACCATTAAGTGTATTTTCAAGGTGTAAAATGTTATATGACATCAATTAAAACGAGTTCGAGATTTCGAAAGGCTCCATTGCATTAGAGAGCAAAAATGTTAAGCGTATGTTATGCGAAACTAACAAAACTACAATTATACAAAGAATAAAGATTTATAAATAGAGAACTGTGACTATTTATTGGGATGTGTTAAAAAATAAGGGATTACAGGAATTCATTTTGTAATGGCTGGGAAGCTTATATCAGAGCACTTATGAAGTAAGGATTTGAATCCGATTACAATCCGCCAAAAGCTTATCGATACATCGGTAAAAGTTAATATTTTTGCATGACTAAACTTGATGGTAATTTCTAACGGCCTAGTTCCGGTCACACTGACATGGACACCAAAACATTGGATTCGGATTTTGTGGAAATTCATCCAAAAAACGGATATTTAAGGTAATATCCGAATGAAAACCTATTAATAAGGCTAAAGATCAAGTAATTCCAGTGCCAAAGAGCTAATTGCTCATCGTCACTCTGAGTTTGAACCTCAAAGTGGAGGTTTAAAACGAACCCAAAATGAAGGCACTGCACCGGAACTTGAGGAGCTTAGGCGAGCGCAGGGTAAGAATTGTTAGGGATATACTAAAAATAAGAATCAATTTTTTATTTTTTAAATTTAAGAACAATTGCGAGCTCAGCTGTCAGTGCCCCGCATTGAAAGACTTGGAGGAAGAGCCCTGGCCATCTGGAATGATGAGCAACAAGTGGCAGAAGTCCTACGCAAAGATGGTAAATTCGAAAACTTTGGATACAGTGAGCAGGGAAGACTCTACTTAGAATACTACGAGGCTATGTTCCTATTGGAACTGGTGAGATATAAAAACGTCTTATATATATTAACCAGTCTTACAAAAGATAATCTTCAGGGCCGCCTACAACTAGAGTACTACGGTTCAGTAGTTTCAATAGAGCAAGCTTATGTGCTCCTTCTTGGCAATCTGGAAAGTGATAAGTACACCAACTACCTGGTGTATTCGGCCTTATCCCGAGCTGGTTATATAGTTGTCAGACACAAACCTCTTGAAAAAACTCCAGAAGAAGTTACTAGTGCTGATTGCATCTGGGCCCTGCTGAAGGAGAAAGTGGGAAATCAACCAGTACCAGAGCACATTAAAACATCACCTTTTTACGCGGTTGTAGAAAAACGAATGGAAGATATCAAGGAACTCATTACATCTCAAAAGACAGAAGATTCTAAGACTACAAAAGAACCCATCGATTTAGAGTTCGACTCAAGAAAGCGCAAGCCGAATGAAAACCTCATCGAAGAACCGGCCAGTAAAAAAGAAAAGCTTTCTATAACCGGTCGGAGTCTCGTGGATCAGCTCAAAAACGAACTGTCATATTCGAAATTTGAAGAGATCTTTGAAAAGTTCGATATTATACAACTTAAAAGCGTAGATGATACCAAAGAAGAAACTACTGATCCATCAGCTTTAAAAATAACCTTTGATCTGCACCTCCACAACGAGGGTTTCAAGAAGAGTTCACCAAAGCCACCAAATTTTAATGTTATCATTCTTCCATCTCAGTCAGCATTTCCCCCCCACGACGAGATCGCCAAGATTCAAAATCATCACACCGCTCCACTGCTCGTCATATCCGTTAGCGAGTCCAAACAAATACAGGCCTTTCTGTACTATATAAGTTGATGATTACCAATACTGCGGATGTGCCACCTCAATAAATTGTACGTGTTAATATATATCCAAAGCTCCATGAATGAATTTTGTTTACCAGGCATTGTTTATAAAGAACGCTAAAAGAAAAACGACCTAACAAACAAGCGAATTTTGTCAAAATATTTGAAATCTTTCAGAAATAAATTGTTATTTATATATTTAGGTCTTGTTTTGGCAAAATTTGTGTTCAACTATGGTAAACTTGTACCTATTGGCTATAATGCGCCCTTAATTTATTATACATGGGTTACAGGATGCACCAATTATTTGGATGATGGGTGGACCGGGCAGCGGCAAAGGAACACAGTCCCAGAAAATTGAAAGAAAATATGGGTACAAGCATATTGATCCCATTGCATTGATGGAACAGGAGGTAAAAAATACTGGAAATTTTAAATTATACACGTTTTAAGTTCTGTTCTGCATAGATCGCATCAAAGACCGCTACTGGCCAAAAACTGGAAGAATTCCAATCAAAAGGAGTAGCTGTACCCTTAAGAGAACTTGTACCACTGATAGAGCACCAATTGATGAGTCACCGTGGCGGACTCAAGGGAATCGTCATTGATGGGTAAGTCAAGACGGTAATACGATTTAAATTAAAAATCATCTGTTAATGCATTTCCAGGTACCCTGCCGATTTGGAGGAGGCGGAAATATTGGAGGATGGGTTCGGAGCACCCTCTATGATCATAGCTTTGGAGTTGGCTGAGGAAGCCGGAAGTCAACGAAGTTCCCTGGAATCCGGTGTACAAGGACGTCCAAGTCTATCTATGTATATAGATTCATCCAAAGCGGTGATGGAAAGATATGCTCAAGTCGCTTTGAAAATCGATGCCGACCAACAACCCGATAGTGTCTTTGAGGAAATTCAGCTCAGTATGGATACGTTTGTCAAACCGCATGGCAGTTTGCAAATAGCTCGTTAAGGGATCGTCTTTATTACTTAGAAGGAAAGCCTTTAGATATAATTACTTTATAAATCAATATAAGAATCTGTAGTGGGAAAAGTTCATCAGATATCCAAAGAAAACTTGAAATTGGATAGGATTCATTTTTCAACTGGATAGTATAATAATAATATTTAGGTATGTACCTCTACCGGATACCAAATTTGAATTGTTTTAAGATCTTACTCTTCCACGATAATAGGATTTGATGGTCAGGAATCCGCATCGCTTCCACCTTAGATATTATACTCAAAATTTGAATTGAAAAGTTCGGGTTTTAAGTGGAACGGGCCAAAACAAAAGCACTGGTCGTCCGAAAGCTTCACAGGAAAGCTCATGTCTACGCGCAGTGAAACCGTTAGCCGAATCGGATCGAATCGAAACCCCTGTCATTCAGTCACTCTCAACACACGCAGCACAGAGGGTGGTGGAAAATCGTCGGGCGGAGCAATCGAATCTGGGCGAGAATCGACCAAAGGAAGGCTAGAGGGCTAGTAAACTACAGACAATCTCGCGATTTCTTCAGCCAAAGGCCCGCAGCAGCGACGAGTATATCTAGTATACATCATCATCATGGTGAGTGTTTTCTGTGCGGGTGCTCTGCTTCGATTTGTGTTTTTGTTTCTGCCTATTGCCCAATTTATTTTTATTTGTTTGTAACCTACACGCCAAGAGTTTCTCACTATGACTTAAATCCCGATGGCACTCCAACTGGTTTCTCGAAATTAGAGATTCAGAACACTCCACTCGACCTTGAGCCACTTGCAGTGCACTTGACCTTGCCCAGCGATGCAATCAAGAAACTTTGGGGGGCCTGGGGGTACATATGTATAAGCTTTTTAAGCCGCGAAACGTGGGCACCGAGAATCTCCCGTCAGCTGTTCGTTGTTTACGACTCTGGTATAAATAGAGCCTCTCCTAATTCCAACGATTACGAATCTGTGAAATTCCCCCAAAAGAAAAGAGGAACACAAACAACCAAACAAATTAGCAACTCAGCGAAGCAAACAAAAACAAAACCGAAATTTCGCATTCCAAGCCCCATCAAATTTTGACGTCAAAATCCCGATTTGAATAAATTTATGACCAGTTGCCCGCTACACAGGAATTTCTGGCGGGGCTTGATTCATTAGCAAGTCCCCAGCCTCGTCGCTAAAAGGCAGTTAAAATGTGTTTATTGGCGCTACTCGAACTAGACAGTCATGCCGGTTTTAGCCTTAGTCGCGTCGTTTTATTAAATTGCCAAAACAAAGAAAAAAACCAAAAAAAAACCTTATAAAAGAAATATTAAGAGTCAGAACTGGGTTCCATAAAAATTCCTCTGGGTTAGCTGGATAGTTTTCGAGTTCCGTTTGAGCAGAAAGCATGTGTTAAGTTCTTGAGTTCTATAACTATATTAATCTAAATTGAACTGTTTGGGAACCTAAACAACTGTTAAACTACCAAGTACAGGTTAGTTTTGATTTATTAACCACGGGCAATCCTTGGATATGACATTGAAAAGTCACTGAACTACTTTATATACATATCAAAAAATTACGTAAATAAGCTTGAAAATCATAAATTCTCACACGCAACAATTTTAATGCGTACAAATGTGCCAGGAGAAAAGCCAACTAAAAACAACGTCAGAGAAAATAAAAAGCACTAAATTTATGCTCTAAGGAAAAAAAAGCAAAGGTGCCAGCAAATAACCTGGGCTGTTCAAAATCATTCTTTCTCTAGTTTTTATATTTTTGCACCCAAATTCTCGATGGGTGCGACAATGCGGAACAGGCCAATATCGACGGGGGCCTCGGATACTATATAAAAAGCTGATCTGCACATAAAACACACGCTATACGGTCACGGGTGCGATTCAATTGTTTACGGTAATTGGGTTATATTTTAATGAAACAAAAACATTAACAATACAATTTGTGCGAATGGAGAAGAGGTGCCAATTGCTTTAGATTACCCACCCTACACAACAATGATGTGCTACGCAGTGGTTTCTGTTCAAGATCAATGTCATGGGCCCATGTAATATTTATATCCTATAGATACTTTTTTCTTTTTCGTAAGACTGTGTAGCGTGTGAACATTATTGTCGGCAAACATTTGGGGATTATTCAATGCTGGCAGAGTGCCCAAATTACTAATAACTACATATTAACAACAGCCAGAAACATCTCGGATGTAGTTCAATAACACTATAAGTTTGAGATATCTAACCATCCCCACCAACTGTCTCGATTGTGTAGTTATTTATGTGTCACCAAAAAGCAATGAAGAAGGAGGCCGAGGATAAGCTCAAAGCCGTGGAGAAGCTCAGAGCCGAAGAGCTCCGAAGGGCACGAGCCGCTGTAAGTAGCCCCTCCGGATGCCAAATCGATGGGCACTATATATAGCCTACTACCATGTAGGATTACTTGATGTACATGGCATGTTCTGTCTGGCCGCCGCTTCACCAAAAATAAAAAACGTTCTTAGAAACCCAGAGAAAATCCTCCCTTGAAATCCAACCCTAACCCAACTAAGCTTGCGAAGAAAAATGAACTCTAACCCAGCTAAAATTGTAGATGTCTCCTCGCCTTGGTGTTGTGAGTTTGCTAATCCGACCCTTGTCTTTACAGTCTGAAATCCCCATCATCTGGATCTTGGGTGGACCCGGCTGCGGCAAGGGCACTCAGTGCGCCAAAATTGTGGAAAAATACGGATTCACACATCTGAGCAGCGGTGATTTGCTGCGCAATGAGGTAATTTGGCCAGAAATACTGGAATAGTTCCGCTATCTATTTGCAGATGGCAGGAATATATTGTTTTTGCCTTGGCAATGGTTTTCGAACTTTAGATTGAACCATAAATTTTGGATCGGCTAGCTGTTTTACGATGTGATGCATGCAAAACCATTTTATAACTTCCTGACGAGAAATTATATTGTTTGTAAATGAATATTATGGTATTATACATATAGGATATTGATATAATGATTAATTTGCAATTATATCACGTTCGTACATTTAAAATGGTAGTTCTGAAATGTTTCTGACCAAAAAAATCGTAAAATCTTGTTAATAACTTAATATTTTGGAACTGTACTAATTACTATATCATTTTATAGGTGGCTTCTGGATCGGACAAAGGTCGTAAACTGCAGGAGATAATGTCAACTGGTGGCTTGGTGTCCAACGATGAGGTGCTGTCGCTCTTGAACGACGCCATCGTCCGGTCCAAGGGAAGCTCGAAGGGATTCCTTATCGATGGGTACCCTCGGGAGAAGAACCAGGGTGTTGAGTTCGAGACCCGCGTGGCTCCCGCTGATTTGGCTCTGTACTTCGATTGCTCCGAGGACACGATGGTGCAGCGTATATTGGCGCGTGCCGCTGCATCGTCTGTGAAACGGGAGGATGACAATGAGAAGACCATCCGGGCTCGCCTGCAGACCTTCAGGCAGAATACCAACGCCATTCTGGAACTTTACGATGCCAAGACCCTGACGGTTAGTAATGCTTTGCACACACCAAAAAAAGTCTTTCTTTTAATTATCGACTTTTATTAATCCCAGATCAATGCCGAGCGTGACGTGGATGATATCTTTTTGGAAGTCGTCCAGGCCATTGACTGTGTGCTGAAAAAGAAGCAGCAGAAAGCCGCCGCCCAGTGCTAGTGAAATGGAAAGCCATTAGGAAACCGGTACCAAAGTCAGCGACGCAAGCAACATTTTTAATGCACTTTTTAGCGCGAATCCCACAATCTCAAAGCTGAGCACAAATGAAAGCTGAACACCAAATAAATTAGTCTAAATCTATATTATGTTACCATATTTAATGGCATTATCCTTCAATCAGTGCAGTCAAGCAATAATTGATCTAGTGCTTTAAATAAATTTACACATAAAAAATGGAATACAATGAGAGATTATAAAATACTGATAATTACTTGAATAATGGCTGTAATTTTCCCAGCTATGCTATAAAATGCTAATCTCATCTAGGCACGATTTAGGGATTTCGTTTAGCAAGTCTCAATTATTCATAAACTAATTGCAAGATCCAAGGGCGCGTGTGCTTGAAAGGAAAACATTCGAAAACATTTGCCTTGAATGCTGCTGTGAGAGCCACGTGATTTATTATCGAAAAACTAGAAGCTGATTTAGTTCACTGAACCAGTTTGCTATCAGCATTTGAATGTTGTGGGAGTAGAACTAATTTAACTTCGTGTCTAAACACCTTGCTAAATATCTCATTTATCTAAATATCTCACCCATGTAGGGTTTTTTTAAGATGCCTGCTTTTAGTGGAGCCAAATCGAATTCAATATCAATATAGATTACTACTTTACTTTCCAATATTGAAGAGTTTTTGATCTGTATATACATTTTATTGAGGAACTTTCAAAAATCTGTGATTATATATCTGCTACACATTAACAAGTTGCACCCGATAAACTGCTCTAGTCATAATAAATTATATGACTTTGCTAGATCGAGTTTAAATTAGAGCAAGTCATCGGGTTGATTGATCGACTGGCTCGAAAGATGTTCAATCTGTCGGGGAATGGTTTCTGAGTTGAATCAGAAGTATTTCGGGCCAATAGATGATATCAAATTTTGATAAATCTCTCAACGAAAGAGTGCGTCATTAACTTCAGTTTGAAAGCAAAATAGAACTGACACCATTCGAATAACAAAGGCTGAAAGAAAATCTTGTCAATTTCGAACTTCTCCAAAAAACTGGTAGAAATATAATCGTCCATCTGTCACGGAACTAAATTCCAAGTGGGACAGACCAACGTCATCGTGTGGATCTCCAGCTCCTCTTCGAACTGGAGTGGGTTCGAGTTCTTAAAGATCGACTCGAGTGTAAAGTCAACACAGCAATATTATGTAAAATAAGTGGTCTTCGAATGATGCCTAATAATTGTGGGGTTTCGTAAATTATGTAAAAGGCAGAGGGGGCCAGAAAACCCACAACAAACAAACGAAAACTTTGGATAGAAAACGAAACGGTTAAACGCTCAGAAATTATCACTTGGCGACGTAAAAGTTTTTATCGGGCGATTATCGCCGGTCGAGATCAGATCCCCAAAATGCGGGAATTCCAATTCCACAAAAATCAGCATGACTAAACAGACTGAAAAGCCGAAGCAGGTTTTTTGTGCTATTATTGTTATTTTTGTTTTTTATTTTTTCATATACAATTTCTTTAAATTTTGCAACATTTGTTGCTTTCTTTTTGTTTGCGGCTTGATTTTTATCTTCTTTTTTTTTTTGTGGCCGCTGTCACTCTTACAACTAAAATAAATATAGATGTTTAAATAGTTAAAGCTAAAATCAATGTACAAAGTTCAATGAGATATATATCACAAGATTGGAGAATTTCCTTTAAACATAAAGCTATCAAGATTCAGTCAGTGGTGAGAAGGGCTGTTATGAGGAGGGCCCATTCTAAATGAGATTATTATCACTGTACTGATGGTGATGTGGTTGCTGATGCTGGGGTCGCTGATACTGCTGATGTGGGGCGTTGTGGCCACCAATCTTGCTCTCAATCCAGTCGAGGTAGTGCGTAACCCGGGTGAAGCCACCAGGAATATTGGTTTCACATCCATCGGCGGGTCCGAAACTGGTAATGCCCACCACCATCTGAGTGTCCTTTAGGACCAGCGGACCACCAGAGTCACCGGTGCACACTGTCTCATCCTTCAGACCCTTGGCACAGATCACTCCCGCCGTGACCACATCGTACTCCTGGGCACACTCCGCATTCGAGATCACCTGCAGTTCTGTGTACTGCATCGAATCCGAGTTGGTCATCTCCACCATGGCGCCCCATCCAGTGGCCACCACGCTCATCCCCGCAAACTGGTCATGTCGATATCTGCTGGGCAGCGAGGCAGGCTGGATTCGTGAGGTGAATCCAATGTCCTGAGGCAGTTTGACCAATGCAATATCATTGGCCGCCGTCTCCGGGTTGAAACGCTCATGGACAATGAACTTATTGGAACGCAGGACCAATCCACCCGACTGCTCCGTATCCTGAACGCTCTTGGTGCCCAAATACACATCATAGTGTGTCACTCCCATGGTGCAGTGACCGGCGGTGAGAATCCAACGACGATCCAGCAGAGTTCCGCCGCACAGGATGCGTTTGCGCCACAGTTGCTTTCCAATGAGCATCACCTGGTAGGGGAACTTCTCAATCCGCCCGAACTTCGCATGTCCCAGGGCATAGCTTTCTGTGAGCGTGGGTTCCCAGACCAGCAATAAGATCATTCCCAATCCCAGCAGGTGGGCGATACTGTTGACGATCATTTTGAGTTCTGTTTATTTGATGCACTTGTTTGTTGTCACTGATTCTTCTCGTTTTATGATTCTTCTTTTGGAATTTTATTTTTTTATATAACGTTTCTGTTTCTGAGTTCTGCGCGCTTTGAATGTTGGCTTCAATCTAAATCCATTCTGATGGAGCCGTGATATTTTATACCTCGTCGCTCGCGCTCAGCAAAATATTTCGCCGGCTTTCTGGCTCTCGGGCTTAATTCTCCGCTCATCTTCGCAGATCGGCAGACTCTTCTCCGGTAGCCTGTTGTTATGACAGCAAACAAGTCGTAAAATCTCGTTTATAACGCTGGACTCTCGGAATCTCAGATAGTCGGCCGATTTTCATCTTGCGCGCGTAGCCAGGCAAAGTTCAAACTACAAATGGGAAACGGAAGTGGAATTTGGGTTATTTTGTTTGCGTTCATTCCCGAAATATCATATTTCGTTTTTTAGGCCCTTGATGATATCAACAAAAGAGAGGGCAAAGTGGATTCCACGAAATATATTTTACTTACTCAAATTTCAAAATTTGGCAAGAGAAAATCGAGATACAAGTTGGCATGCGTTAGACAAAAGAACAGGTATTCCAGGTGGGGTTGGACGTCATCAAACCACCGCCCCTTTTGGTGGATTGAATTTCGGGGTGACAAATACGATTTTAATTATGTATAAACTATAATGGAATTCTGATTAAAAGACTCGTTTTGCCTGTCATTTTTCCTTTGGCTCAACAATTCGGACAAGTCAGTTGGAAATGTTTCATTCAACTGAAAAAAGATGGAATTTTTTATTTGAAAGTTGCTTTTGCGCATCTTCAATGGCATTTTCGTGATCCGTAAACAACGGGGGACTCCATATTTTTTCTGATTCAGTGGCGCCATAAGAATACGTCTCAAATAAGTTATTCATTTACGCCTCAAAGTCCAAAAATGTTGCTAATTCCAAGCAAAACTTTCGGCCAAATTTCGGGAGAACGTCGATGAATCAAGTTTGCTGATTATTTTTTATAAACATATTAGTATGTAGATTGCGCTCCAGATCAAAATCACAACAATGCTGACTCAATCAATGCTTTTGTTCTACTGTTTTCTTTCGATTTTCCTGTTTTCTTTTCGATGTGCGCAGAAATTCCGAAAAAACCAATAAAACCAATCGCTTGGAATCAAAGTTAATTTGCTTGGCGCCAGCCTGATGGGTTGTTAATGAAAAACAACGGAGATTGCCGATCGCTTTAATTTTATTTACTTAATTAGCAGCCGAATTGTAAAAACAGCCAGCAAATTGCTTTGTTTTTAACACGGAATCCAGTTCGTCAATGAAATGTTAATCTTCAGGAGGGGTAAAGGATTCTTGCTAAATGATCTTGGTAATTACACGTGCCTCCAAATTCCATAGAGCATCCAAAAATCGGGGCTCTACCATCCCCAACGATCGTAATATTTGCATTACTCATTTGCAGGTTCAAGTTTATAAATATACAAACAGTAATGAAATTAATTGGACATGAAGGTGCTAAGCACTTGCTACGCGAGAGATGATCTCTGGATCCCAGGAATGTAGGATAGTAATCCTCGTTAGAGAACTATAAACTGCACGTGTAGGACATATAACTATGACTTCCCGTTCTGGGAGGTGTCTTTTATTGATGAACAGGCTAATCTTCCAATTAGTTTTCAGCACATCGTCAAAGTTTATAGATCGGGTTCTCGGGCTTTACTTTTACTTGCCTTTTCGGGCCAATTTGAGTTTAAGTGCCACCGTCTGAATGCATATTTCATTTTTCGCCGACTGCTTTGAATATATTACCCCGAAGAACCGGCGAGATTTATTCGACAATTAAAATTTAAATTACGCGGCCGGGAATCCGAGATGTAAATTGATGCAAATGAGAGATCGGGCCGGGAAGACCCCAAAAAAAGCGTTGTTTTTCGACCACAAAGTTCAGCGGCTCCCGTCTCTGGCGCCAGAAATGTTGCTTACCTTGCCCGAGAAAGTAGCTGACCTTGACGGAATTCGGAATCGAAGATCCGAATCGCAGAGATATCGGCTAGAAAGCTGGATTGGATTGATCGGTCGCCTAATGGGGCGCATGTAGAGTGCATTGACCAAGATTTTGGCGTTGGCGTACCGTTGAAATGGGCACATCAAATCGGCCATTGACGTCAGATAAAACATCATTTGTTTCGAACCCGGGGCCTCTGGAATCAGAAATCAAAAATTAATTAATGTGCTGGACGGAATGAGTTTTTAATATGCAACGGCGTAGAACCAGTAGTCGCCATACCACTTTTCGCCAGGCAGTAAAAGTTCCACTTCTCCCGAGGGCTCGATCTTCAAATGTTTCTCGGCCAGAGACTTGGACAAACTAGATCCGGTTGGACCTCATTTTATGCTAAAGCGAAATGGATACGGAGAACCCCGCGCAAACAAAAAAAGAAAGAGCCGCTTAGAAGAAATTTATAGCGCTTGGGGATTTCCCAAAAAATGAGCAAAATACTGGGCCACAATAACAAACTCCCATGACGCTGTGTAGCAAACAAAATTTGCTGAAATTCATCAAAGACATTTATCATTAGTCGAGAGAGAAAGATGATCGTTTGATCGCTTGATAGCCGTTAGCCAAAAGCAAAGAAACTTTTTGGCGCCAGTTATCCAGACGGCGTCGGCTTATACGATATATCCGAATAACATATTATGTTATCTTTGAAATTTCCATTAAAAACAAGTTCCCATCGTTTGCAGTTCCGACCGCTCTGGAATTCCCGAAAAACACGTGCGAAATGCCAATACGTATACGAATGGTCCAATAAAAACCTAAGAAAGTCGTCAAAAACAAATCGTCTTGGAATCTCGATTTGAATTGGCATAATACGTCAAGTTGTCAAATTAAATTTGCATGCCATTAATATGCCGCCAAATGAAGCGCAAGCGCAAGTCGCTTATAAAACTTGATATGTTTTGCCCACAGATAAGGAATTGTTTAAGCCGGAAAACCGCCTTTTAAACCAGCAATAAAGCGTACGCCCCAAGAGAAGTTCTGGGCTTTAATGGGATTCGGGGAATTTTCGATATTCCGAATTTATGCGTTGCGGCCGGACTATGTGAATTATGCTGCGACAGATCGAACAGCTTAGTGGCGCCGAAATAATTAATTATAAATCGACTGTCTCGACATTAGTAACCCACTGGAATATGCATATAAATTAGAACGATTAGAACGGTCGAGAACAACAGCATTAAAATTGTTTGTCAACAACGCACAAAAGATTAGGAGCTAATATGTTATTAAATTTTGAAAAACATATATCTGATAAGAGTATTTAAAAGATGTTGCAATTATATTTCAGTTTATTATCAATTTGTTTGAGTATTAATGTCTTAAAAGCTTCTAAGCTTAGAATTAATTAGCTGTACCCAAATGTTCTAACTATATTAAATTCTCGTTTAGATCACAACATAAAATTTTATGTTAATATCGATTAAGACCTTCGTAAAATAGAACATAGAAAATTAAGATTGAAATGTGTATTTCTTAATCAAACTCAGCATTTTTGATGAACACATAACATCGCAGAATTTATTTGGTAAATAAAAGCTCAAGCAAATTATGTTTTGTTTGATTGGTAAACAACGGAAACCTGATGTTGATAGCCATTAAATTTGAAGCTGTCTATTATTCGTTTAAAGGCAAAAAAGAATATAAGCACGATCTCCAAACTTTAAGAGCGCTTCAAAATTGACGTCATATCGACGACTTTTCCACGATTTGATGATTCACTCACGAATTTAATCCAATTTAACCAGTTGATATTAAACGTCACTGTGGTTTTACAAATTTATATTTTTAGACGATTAGTCAATTTCGACCGTCTCAAAGGTCCCAGACTTTCTTCAAAGTCTTCTCTCACTGTGACAGTGCAAATAATATTGCCTTAGCGAAATGCCATCGAACTCTAATGTCTGATTAAGACAGAAAGTCCGATTTTGGTCCGGATAAGGCAATCCAGCTTACAATTAATGAGAGTAATCGTAAATAAACATTTACGGTAAGTACCCTTACTTCAGATTGCATCTGTCACTCGATAATTCAAGTTGTACGCATGGCGAATAACATTATTAATAAGGAATGCAAATTGGGATCACCGGCGAGCGATTTTGTTCGAATAATTACAATTACAATTGGATGTATTTCCTCAAAAACAAACAAATTTCGAATGATTATAAACAGGTTCTTCAAAAAATTCAAAATAACGGTTAAACGTAAGCTAAACGTGTGCATACACTACGTAAGTATGACCTTAGGCGGGTGTAGGTAAATCTGGTATGTTTTTGTATTTCCCCTAAAAACGGTCTTACTAAAGGTGCCGGCGTAAACAAAGCAATTAAATTTGGTTAAATTATTTGAACTTATTAAAAAACATGAAGCAAAAGGATCTGAAACGTGCTTACAATAATGTCCTGGCTCAGGCTATATCCACCTCTCATCAGCACCTATTTGCGGGCAATCTGTTTGGCGACATCTTTGTGCTCAGGTGGGAATTCCCAATTTGGCGCGATTTCCTTGTATTTAACTTATGTATTATTTTTAAAGGATCAAGGAATTGGACAAGGGTTCCGAGGAGCCACCGGGCAAACTGAAGATCTTCCCGCAGGGTAGCGATGTGGACATCAATTACCTGTCCTTTCATCGTGATTTCCTGATAGTGGGTGCTGTGGGTCTTATTTACGGATTAAAATGGAACGAGGAGGAGGAGTCACTGGCCACCAAACGCTCCTGGGAGGTGAAAATACCCATGCAGGTGGATGCCGTCGAAGTGCCAGATGTAAACTCAATGTGGTTGGACTCGGAAAACAGCATCATATATGCTGGCTGCGGTGATGGGGTCATCTACCAAGTGAGTTTGGAAGATGGACGCGTGCAGCGGGAATACCGTGGACACACGGACTACGTGCACAGTGTGGTGGGCAATTCCACCGGACAAATCTTCTCCGGCGCCGAGGATGGCACTGTACGAGTGTGGAGCACCAAGCAGCAGGAGCAAACTTCTATGCTGGAGCCGTACAAAAACCCGGATCTATTGCGACCGGATTGGGGCAAATGGATAGGAGCAGTGGCTGTCAACGAGGATTGGCTGCTCTGCGGCGGTGGACCCAAGGCATCCATTTACCATCTACGTTCTCTGGAGTGCACCCGCGTCTTTGACTTTCCCGGACGCGTGCATCTGTGTGATTTTGTGGACGACTGTGTTTTGATTGGCGGCGAGCACAACCATGTGCAGTCCTATACTTTAAGTGGAGATCTGCAGGCCAATATTCCTGTGGAGCACACCGCCTGCTACTCCGCAGTTTGGCAGACATCGCCCATTAAAGTCATGTCCATTGCCGGCTTCAGCAACAAGCTGCACATCCTCAAGGACTTTCGTTTCCTGGACAGCAAGATTGAACTGTACGGCAATGTGGAGGGGGATGAAAACGATCCGGAGGAGGACGACGAACTGATCGAGGAACCACTGACAGTTGAAGCTGCCTGAAGGTTTAATAAATTTGTTTCTACTATGTACATATATTTATTTATTGCTTAAGGTAACTGATCATATTGCTCGTTCTGACAACCGCTTTGTGTTATTCGCAGCACTTGATATTGCTTGCTTTCCAAATTATTCTGAAAGTCGCACTCGCCAAATCTCAAAGCTCCCCTTTCGTCAAGTGCAAAGTCCTCCAGCATCTTTATGAAATTCCTTGTAATAATTTCTTCATCGGGTCGAATGTTTGCTCGTAGTGGAAGATCGTCAAATATCAAGAAAAAATCATCTCCATGGACAGTACCTTTAAAAAGTGAAATGTTAGGACTTTTATTTATTTTAATTCAAGTTCATACGTACCGAAATATATATCAGTGCGATTGGACAACACCTGGCCCACTCCTGACACAGAAGGGTTATCGTAGACAAAAGAATAAACAGGACTTTTGCCATATTTTCTGTGAAGGTCTATTGAACTTGGCACGCTATTCTTGAAAAGAATATCAGTAAACATTCGTTGCAAGTCCCAATAACTTTCCACACTAAAACGACGATCTCCCAGATATTGCTGTCTGAGTTTTCTAGACAACTCGTCCATATCCCAAACGGTTTCCTTAGAGTCCCGGTAGAAGAGCAAGTAAGGAGCCCAGTCGAACCAACGATCATTGAGTTTTTCAATCCAGGTCTCACCGGTTGTCTTATTTTTCTCCAACAGCTGAGCAGCGTTATAGCCTCCATCCTCAGTGGTATATGTAACGACCCAAGGAACTTGTGCGAATTTTCCGCTTTTTATCACATCTATTGGATGTTGAGTGAGAAAGGCCTCTGGTGCATCTTTTGGCTCCACCACGGGTCCAAATACAGAAAAGGGGACGTATGAAAACACGAGGAAGCTACGTACAGCGGATACTACTTCATTGGCCGGCTTGGCCTTCAAACACTTCTTGAGCTCCGCCGAATCTGATGTCTGTCCGCAGCCCAATATACGACCTAGCTCAAAGGCACGTCCTCTTCCCCCTTGCTGGACAACCCAGGGATCTAGGGCATTTCCGCTCACCGACACGGCCGCCCTGGCCAAGTGGCTGAAATCCTCATGCAAAAGCTGTAAATGAGCAGATGCACCGCCTGCAGAGTGCCCAATGACCACAATATTATCCGGCATGCCGCCAAAGGTGGCAATGTTTTCCTTGATCCAGCGTAGAGCTAGGCGTTGATCCTTGAGTCCATAGTTTCCCGGCAAATCCCTATCGCCGGTGCTTGCGAAGCCCAATGGTCCAACGCGGTAGTTTATTTTGACCAAAATCACAGTTCCCTCACGCATAATATACTCGTGGCCATATAATGCTGCACTACCGAACATGAAGGCACCACCATGAATAACAACCACGACAGGAAAGGTGCTCCGGCTTTCATTCTTGGGCTTGTAGATACTTAGGGTTAAGCAATCCTCATTCCCCTCTAGCATTCTGCCTTCGGGTCTAAACTGGTTCCATTGCAAGCATCCTACTTGTGGCTGAGTGGCATCGAAAACATCAGTCCAGTGATGGCTATATGGCTGAGGAGCTTCTAATCGTAGTTCTCCAGTTGGGGGTTCTGCATAGGGAATCGATTCGTAGCTGAAGTAGTGCCCATTATCCTTGCCACGGAGTTTTCCATTCGGGATCTCTACAACCAAAGGATCTGAGGAGAGGATTGCTCCAGTTCCTTCAAAGGCTATCCACAGCAAAATTAAGCACTTCAACCATTTGAATGAACACATGTTCCGGAATTCAACGAATTACTAATGCAACTGCGAGCAAACAAAGCTTGATTGTTTCTTTATAGCTGCTAACGAGTCTACCCAAATGTATATAGGTACCTATATCAAACGCGTTTTGAAGGTAAAAGATGCAAAGCGGTCAGTTAGGAATTAGCAAAGAAATAAAAAGTACACAAAGCGAAATTTCGATACTTTTATAAAATCAATACGCAGCTTCTTAAAGAAATTAACTAAATATTGATCGTTAGAAATATTTTTTTTCAGTTCAAATAAATAAAAAGGCTTAGGAACAACTTCTGTAAAATCAATTACAAATTATATTTTCCTCCAAGAAAATTAGGGAAACTGTACATATTGTTTATTGTTACATCCCTCTTTGTTTATAAGTAATAAGTTAAATTTCTCACTGCCCACATTATCTTCGAAAACACATTCACCATATTTCAGAATGCCGTTGTCACTGAGAGCAAAGTCCGCCAGCATATTGATGAAATTTTTGGAAATTGTGCTCTCATCCAGACGTAATTCCGGATCTCGTACAACGTTTTCGAAGATCAAAAAATAGTCGTCGCCATGAACGGTTCCTTTAAAGAGGCTATTAAATAAAGTTGATTAATTAAGAACTTATTAGAGCTTACCAAAATGAATATCCCTTCGCTTGGTCAGAACCTGTGCGATTCCCCTATCGGCTGGATTGTCATAGACAAAGGCGTAGGCAGGACTCTTTCCATATTTACGGTGAAGATCCAGAGAGTCCTGTGTGCTGTTCTTGAAAAGGATATCCGTGAACAGTTGCTGCAACTCCCAATAGTTTTCGGTCGTGAATCTCTGATCTCCCACATATTCCTGCCTTATTTTTCGGGAGTAATCATCCATTTCCTGAACGGTTTTCTTGGAGTCCCGATAGAACAGTAGATATGGGGCCCAGTCAAACCAACGATCGTTGAGTTCCTCAAGCACGGTCTTTCCCGATTTATTCCAGTCCTCCAAAAGTAAGGCGGCATTGTAGCCACCATCCTCTGTGACATAGGTCACGGCCCAGGGAACTTGTCCGAACTTTCCGCTTTTAATTACTTCCCTGGGATCTTGGATGAGGAAGGCTTCTGGAGCATCCGAAGGTTCCACCACAGGACCAAATGGTGCAAAGGGCACATACGAAAATATAAGGAAGTTTCGCACTGCGGTTACTATTTCACTAGCTGGCTTGGATTTTAAGCATTTCTTAAGGGTCTCCGAATCTGCAGCCAGTCCACAGCCCACAATGCGACCCAGCTCAAAGGCGCGTCCTCGGGCACCCTGCTCCTGCTGAATAACCCAAGGATCCAGGGCATTTCCACTGAATGAGATAGCCGCCTTGGCCAACTGGCCGAAATCTTCACGAAGCATCTGCAGATGAACCGAAGCTCCGCCAGCGGAGTGACCCACAACCAGGATGTTCTCCGGCTCTCCACCAAAACTGGCAATATTCTGCTTGATCCATTGCAGAGCCAGGCGTTGATCCTTTAGACCATAGTTACCTGGCAAATCCGTATCGCCGGTGCTTGCGAAACCCAGAGGTCCCAAGCGATAGCTTATCTTCACCAGTATGAATTTGCCCTCTCGCATCACATTCTCGTGTCCATTTTGCGATGCTGCTCCAAACATGAAGGCACCTCCGTGAATGTGGGCCACCACCGGATAGCTGTTCCTGCTGCTGTTCTTGGGCGTGTAGACGCTGACGGTAAGGCAGTCCTCCTCGCCGGCCAACTTGTTGTCGCCCTGGATGAACTGATCCCACTGCAGGCACACCACTGGTGTCTGGCTGGCATCGAAGATGTCCAACCACTTTTGCTTGTATGGCTCCGGGGCTTCGAATCTCAGCTCACCCGTGGGTGACTCGGCATAGGGAATCGATTCGTAGCTGTAGTAAAATCCATTATCGCGACCACGCAACTTGCCCTGGGGCAGCTCCACCACCAGGTGGTCATCCGGGTCACTGGCGAACGAGCTGAGCCACAAACAGCTCAGCACGAAGATCAATCTCACGCAGTTCATGTTGCTCACTCCCGCGAATTCAGACCGCAACTATCTTGCGATGTGGAATCGGCGGCCCCTTTTATTCGATCGGTCGGCTTATCGGCCACCCAGCACCCGACCACCTGAGCAACCAGTCTCATTTGAGATCTGGACACGCCATGAGATGAGATTTTTAATTTCTGGCTTGGATTTTGGCATAACTCTTGTGTTTACATCTATACGATAGCCGTATACAAATTAAGATAGTTACATATTCACCCCGATTGAAATTTTTAACTTGATTTAGTTTATTTAATAGACATGCATCCCAATCAAAATTACCTATCCCACTTTAGGTGAGACACTTATTATACAATCGCACTTAAGTCAACTTGATTAATTACTTTATATGCATGTTGTTTATACTTATATTTAGACAGATGCCTGTGATAATGAACTTTTAAACGAAACCGTTTTAAAGCCGAGTAAGACGTCTAATATTGTTAAAGCTTTTAAATATTTGGACGCAAAAGGGTATCATCTTTTGAGTGGGCAAAAATGGTCAGCTGAAACCAAGTACGGGGTACTTAAGAGACGTAGAGTGTTTTGATATTTATTAAAAAACAAATTTTCTAGAGCAGTAATATTAATTACTGATAAGATGTCAGATGTAAGCAAAAAGTGAGAGCAAGGTACACTCAACAAAATGCTAGCTTTTGAAAATGAAGATAATTCTATCGTTTAAAAAAGCTCGGCGCCAAAAAGTATGTCAATTTTTTTTACAGAATGTACATATGTATTAGATCACTGAGCAAGAGCATTTGTATTTTAGAACATTTGTGCTCCATTGACATTAATCGTTTTAAAAACACCAAATCTGGATTTGTTATATCAAATTTTCAAAAAGTATGTAATTGGTTCCGCGCTACCGCCCCCATAAAGGTTGATCTAGCCATGTCTGTATGTTTGACCGTCTGAGAAAATGAGTTTAAATTTTTACCGTCGCTTAAAACCAAAATTTTAATCTAGAATATTAGAGAATTCCACCACAAATTCATAGAGGTATTCCACGTTCAAATCGAGATCCAATACCCCAAGTTATGGAATCTGGAAGTGCAGTTTTTGGTACCCATTCTGAAAGCCATTGGAAATACGGAAAAATCAAACATGAAAATGGGTTAACATTTTGACCATCTAAAAGTAGAATAATTTTAATGTAGAATATTAGAGAATTCAACCACAAATTCATAGAGGTATGCCACTTTGAAATCGGGATCCAATTACCCAAGCCATTGGAATTACGAAAAAATCTAACATGAAAATGGGTTAAAATTTTAACCCTCAGTAAAACAAAAGATTTTAATGTAAATTAATAGAGAATTCCACCACAAATTCATACAGGTATGAAACTTTGAAATCGGGATCCAAATACCCAAGTTTTGAAGTCCAGAGGTGAAGTTTTGGGTCCCCTTTCTGAAAGCGGAATGAATCTGACATGAAAATGGGTTAAAATCTTGACCCTCATTAAAAAGATATATTTAAATGTGGAATATAAGATAATTCAACCACAATTTCATAGAGGTATCCCACGTCTAAATCGGGATCCTATAACTCAAGTTATGAAGTTTAGAAGTACAGGTTTGGGGTGTCCATTCTGAGGCCCTTGGAATTTCGAAAAAATCGAACATGAAAATGGGGTTAAATTTTTGACCCTCGTCAACAAGATACATTTAAATGTAGAATATAAGATAATTCAACCACAATTTCATAGAGGTATCCCACGTCTAAATCGGGACCCAATAACTCAAGTTATGGAGTTTAGAAGTACAGGTTTGGGGTGTCCATTCTGAGGCCCTTGGAATTTCGAAAATATCGAACATGAAAATGGGTTAAATTTTTGACCCTAGCCAACAAGATACATTTAAATGTAGAATATTAGAAAATTAAACCACAATTTCATAGAGGTATCCCACGTCTAAATCGGGATACAAAAACTCGAGATATAGAATCTAGAAGTGCTGTTTTAGGTTCCGATTCTGAAAGCCAATGGAAATACAAAAAAAATCGAACATGAACACGGTTTACAGTTTTGACCCCCGTTTAAAAGGATAAACCACATTTTCCAAAAAGGTTAGGGTACCTCCTTTTGGATTCGAATGGCCCAGCCCCAATAGAGATTTCAAGTGAACAAATTTAGTACAGTGTTTTTTATGGGATATATACATATATTGGCGTGTATAATGTACATGTTTTATATTACATTAAAGGTATACAGGTTGTTTATGAAATAAAATGCAATAGTTTGGGAACCAAACGGTATCTGGTAAGTAAGTAGAATCTCCTAAGCCCTCGCTTAAAATTCCAAGACTCCGGGCAAATATTTGTCGATCAAGGTCTGGTAATAGGGCCACAAAGCGTCGATATCCGGAACCACCTCGCTTTTCGTGTACAAATCGTAGCGACTGTAAGGAAGAATAATTATTATCATGGGGATGGATTAGAATAGATAAGGAAACTCACTTGAAGATCAGCACCCACTTCTTGGTCTCCGCGTCCGTGGGAGCCTCCAGGTGCTTGTAATCACCGCCGTTGTGCCAAGGATAAAACGAGTGGAATCGAATGATGTTGCAGGCCACATGCGGCAATTTGGTCTTGTTGTGCTTCAGCACTGAATACATGTACTCATCGTGACCCCAGGACATTAGCAGATTGTCCACCCCACAATTGGGCTTGTAGATCCCCAACTCGGTGTTGTAGGCGGGATTGTCGCCATCGGGATTGCCCTCGAAGCTCTCTTCGCGATAAACGATGCTATCGCCCCAACGGCAGCCAACGGCGAAGGTGTCCCCCACCACCGCCCACTGGGGCTCGTCGTAGAAGGCCATTATCTTGCCCAGATCGTGGATGAGGGCCGTCAGATGCAGCCAATCGTGCTCCGGAAACTCGGCACGTGCCCGCTCAGCCGCCTGGAAGGCGTGGATAATGTTGGGCAGGTCCAGATCGGGATCTGATTCGTCCACCAGATCGTTCAGCTTCTCAAGAGCCTCGCGCACCGTCATTTTAATCGTGTTAAATTTCAGCCAGCGATCGCGGCGACCTGATAAAGAGTTTCAAATATGTAATAAAATGTTAATAAAACAAGATTTTTAAGTAAAAAGTAACTATACAACTTTTAAAATTTGTATTCTTAAGATCCTTTTACAATATAATGAAATTGGCTTTTAATGTATGACGCTCCTACTATAATTTTCACATTTATAAAAATTCTTTTCACAAGGAGAGTGGAATCACTCTTAGCTCTTTAAAATTAAGTTTCCTTTTTATATCCATTCCGCTCATTGTAACTCACCTTTGACAAAGTCCACAGTTTGATTCAAGTGCATCTGACGATAGGTCTGGCGCACTCGTTCCTTCAATGGATCTGTGGTATCCACACTGTAGTCCCGGAATTTCGAAGGGTTTTTGTCTGCAAATGTGGGCTCTGGGCGCATCAGCTCCGAAGGATCCAGAAGGTGGACATGGTTCTATCAATTAAAGTCACAATCGAATAAGATACCGGAAAACATTTAACTGGCAAGAATTTTTTTACCTCCGCAAGGATTCTCATTTTAAAGAAAAGTTTATAATAAGTAAGTCAAAAAACTGGAATATTTTTTGGGTAGTAACCGCACTCTTGAACGAGCGAAACACTTTTGAATCGCTGGACGCTCAGATTCCACACTTTTATAGTCTGCCGACCATCGGAAATTCAACGGAATTCACAATCACATTCCATATAGTACACTCTCTTCTATTCTAAGTGTACTAGAGAATGATTTATAGTACGTTTGTTATTTTTCAAAACACGAGAGTCGCCTGCGTCGCTTCCCGTGCGGCCTCTCCCAATCGCAACAATATTATAAAACCAGGCTCAGATATTCTATCTACCATATATGAGAGGTCTTAACACATTACATTCGGTTTTATAACCCCTTATCAGGAGCCTGGGACGCCTACACAGCAACAGCCCAACTTATCTGTAGCTGCATTACTTTTTCCTCCATAAATTCATAAGACTGGAAGTTGCACTTGACTGATAAGATCGAAAGGCTGGCTATAAAAAAAACATAACGAATCTGTTCCACATATATCTGGAGCAAGTGCAAGGCCACGGCATTGAGTTACGAGTCTGATTGTTAGGGTTGTTGCGCGAGGACTTATGAATGTATTCGCTAGAACTATAAGAAACAACCTGATAAGAATGCAATCATATTTAAAAATAAAAAAAAATTTTGGAAGGTTTTTAAGGATAGAATACATAAATATAGTCTTTGGATATTTAAAGTCTTTAACTGGAAGTAAAATTGTAACATGACTCATTGGGTTATGGGACCCATTCAGTAAATATCAAAACAAATTGTTCAATATTATGGGGGTTCTTTATATTATGTTAAATTATATTAGGTAAATATCGATCCTCATCGTAAATAGGCCATTAAAATAGATTGTTTTACATTATGACAGCTTTGTACAGTTCTTACGCATCCTAACATGATTTTAGCGGATGCCCGACCTACGAGATCGGGCAATCACATTTCCCCTGGATCAAAAGTCACGCCTTAAGCCCCCAAAAAATTCCTATATCCCCTCTAGATCTTGGTCTAACCTTGAACAACCGTCAGGAAGGCAGCTAGTCCATAGCCAGATGCCAACGCTCCAGATCCAGCGATCTTTCGAACGTCTAAAAGTAGCAGCAACGCCCCGCAATCTGGGTAGACAGTCATCAAGCTGAAGCTTAATGTGCCATCAAGGGGGGATTGCCTAAAGAAAAGTTATCAGTCGTCTACATGACGTCGGTGGGATCCGATTCCATCCGATCCGGACGCCGCAAGTGCGAACTACAACTTGAGATTTCACACTGCCCACGAAGGGGCGAACTGATCGCCGGAACCTGGGCCATATGATGGTGATCCATATAAATCTGGGCCGGAGGGGCTTGTTCCAAGTTTCCCGAGGCGCAGTATCGCCGTTCGTCACCACCAAAGGTCAGTTTGTAATGATCGTTGTCAATAAACCTTATCACCTATTAGGGGAGCGTTTCGCACAGAGTATGAATATTGGGGAAGCTGGGGCGGCAATGGAAAAGTTTCACAATGTTTCTATTTCACGATGATGCTGGTGCCATCAATTAAGACAGAACGTGCCGGCCAATGCAATAGTCAATAAATAACATTTATAGTACTGCAGTATTCTATTTTTACATTATATCTAGATAGAATTTTCATTTCACACTGCGCAGCATTGCCCCCAAGTTCTAGGGGTGAGAGTGCCTTGACTTTCAGTCCTATAAGTGTATCAGACAGATCGATCACATTAACAAACAACCGTGATAAGCTCATTAAAAATCCACAAATTATTCTATAATAAGGCAGGGGATCATACGTAAAGTTCGAAGGGTCACAAGGACAAGGCTATTAAAAGCTAAGTGGAGCCAAATGACAAACAACGATGATCAATCCGTTTTTGAAAATACAGAGTCCTCTGCCTAAAACATCCGCGGTTTTCCTATCATCTCTTGGTTAAGATTGCAGTTTACTTTAGCAAGGCCCCACAGTTTTTACTACGGCCCCAAGTAAATATCAATAAATCATGTCGACTTTCGCCGGACGAACTCTTCGACTTGGATTCAAAAGTTGATATTTCGCTGATAGATTTGTGCTTGCAATAATTCATTAGGCTTCGGCTGACAGCCGGGGTCAATGGGTCATCAACCAGCACAAGACTCCCAGCCTAATGTGATTACTGAAATACGTCAAATAAATCAAACTCACAAATAGTCTACTTACAGGTATACAAATCTGCAAAAAATAAGATTTTTATCCTGTGTTAAATATTATTTATATTAAGGGTGAAATATATTTCCAAGCCTTGCCGAAAAGTATACTTCATTTCGCGTCGAATTCCTTTCAAGTTTCATGGCGCAAATTAAGTTGAAGCTGAAATGTTGCTGTAAGTTTTCGCAAAATCATCAATCATAAATAAAAGTAGTGACTCATAAAAATCAATAATTTCAACACCTTACTGGCATGTTCTTTTAAAGCTAAAGAAATAGCTTTTAACTGAATTAATTTAACACATGCATATTTTATACAAAATCAAAGCCATAACCTTTTAAGCATTATGTGTATTTATCTGCGTCAAAGCTTTACAATCTTATATGTACATAAATTTGTTTTTTATGAAAATGTAATATTAAAATATTTTTTCAGTATAGTCTATTAATGAACATACTTTCGTTAAACGGTCATTTACTAAGCTGTTAGTTATTCCACAGAACAATCAAATATAATTTGTAAAAAACCTTTTTACATTGACAAGCATGTAAAATCAAGGGGCTGAATAATTGATGAGTAAGGGTATCGTGCTAGAAAACCATTCTGATTTAATAAATTGTCCGCTCGTTTCCGCCCATCTCTTATCCGTAGGTATATGGATGTCCTGCTGACAGGACTCGTGGTTAATGGGAAAAGGTTAAATACAGCCCTAATTGAACGCCTAAGCGCATGCTAGGCATATATCGATTTAACCATCGAACTCTAATTAAAAACCGCTGAAATCGGAGGTCCTTAATAGCGTTACGACGACACAAACATAAAGCAGAGCTTCCATTAAATGGGGCATCCACTTCTCAGCCGCGTTTGCCACATTAACAAGCGGCACACTATAAGAATCATTCCGATTCTCTTTGTTTTTGTACAAAGTGCCTACATTGAATGGATCGTTGGGTGGGAAATCGTTCTTCAGATGGTCATCGTTGGCAGTCAGCCGGTAAAATATATTGAACTAGGAAAATTTTGAAAAATACATTTATTATAATTGTATTATTTTCCAAATATATTTACTTGCTCCTCCGAAATGTCAATGGTATATGGGAAATACAACCAGGTAGCCTCCACACTACAAGGTGGAATTGTCAGAGAATCACTATAGGTGAAGTAGTTATCCATATGCTTCGAAATGTATTCTCCAAGAGGAAATGGGTATTTCATATTCACGCTTTGGCCTTTCCGGTCAATCTGGGCGAGTAAGTTGGTGAAGTCCTCATAGCCCCTAAATGGAACGAGTCCGATCTAAAGAGATAGAGAAATGCTTATCTAAAACAGACTATTTCCCACACTGAAAAACTCTCACATGAAAGTAGAAGGCCATAACAGCGATTCCATGATCCTTCTCCATAGCAATTGTTAAGTTTGGATATTCCGAATTCCGTAGTACCAAATGGAGCTCAAAGAGGTAAGCTTGGTTTATGACCATATCCTTATTGGTAAAGGTCTCGTTGTCGCCCCAGTAAAAGTGGAACTGCTCGAACTGATAGCCCAAAGGAGTTCTCTCCGCGAAAGGACCTCCTTTTACCGTCGGCACTGTTTCCTTATTGAAACTCATCTTAACCAGTATCGTGTGCCCATTGTTCGACATTTCAAAAGTCCTGGGTACTACATTGAAATTTATAATCTCCAGGTCGGTAAAATTCTTCTCCACGGCATTAACCAAATCGATGGTTAAGGGACTGTGGTGTTTTCCACTGCACTCTCCCCACTGCTCGGGTCCATAACTTTCTCCGTATCCAAATTCTAGGGCCAAAACCAGCGGAACTAATACTATTAAATAGAGAATGGTCTTTAGATTTATTCAGTTTTCCAATTTAATTTTATTAAAAGGTGATTTTAAAAACCAATCAAAAATTCTATCAAAGTTAGCAGACCACCGAAACAAAATTATCTATCATTAGCAAGTTGCGTAATTTATGGTAAATTTAGGTTAATTATGAACTAATTTCTATTAGCGGCACGTTTATTATATTTCGCTGAAATTGGCTCCCATCGTAGTTAAATAAAACTGTGCTTAATAGAATAGTTGAAAAAAATTTGGAACCATATTTTGTTACTTTAAAATAATATTTTTGTATTTATTTTTACTTAAAGTCATTACAAAACCCACTGAAGGCGCTATCACTTTTGTCAGCAATTCCTTTGTTTTGCTATATAGCTCACCACAAATTAAGATCGAAGCAATGACAATTGCAAGTGAGGTGTTGCTACTCCTACTCATAGCTTCAATTCGCTTCGAGTATCTTATTGAGAACTAATTTTTAAACTGACTAACTATCTTATTTTCCGTTCTTAGGCGCAAACTGCGCTAGGTTCTCGCCGATACTGCAACTTATATCTACCACCAAATACTTATGTTCCATTGCTGACAATCGACTTGGAACCCAGGGGTCGAATCTGTCCTATCCTCTAGAGTGCTAAAGGAGCGATCTGTGCCATACTTAAGCTGATTGCTTTGTTGTTTATCATAGCATCACATTTCAAAGCCACATATTGTAATATGTAAATGCACAGGGCACATTGAATGACATTACTATTGCATGTTAATCGCATGGTGCAGCTTGTTTGCTGTGAACTGAGTTTACTATATCCCCCGAATGTCCCTCGGATCAATACTTCTCATACTGTTGAAACTGGCAAACAAATTAACGCAATGACCTTTTATTAATTTGTTTAATAGAAATCATTTTACATAACAAACAGCCTCATTTTAGCTGGACATTTTTAAATAAATATTTTTTTTAAAAATCAATATCATTACATAAAAACGTTTACAGGTCTTAAAACTAAGGTACACGAATAATGCCCGTGCCAGGCATTTAAAATCACAATGTGCACTGCCAAGTGGGTTCAACAGGCCTCTTTGGACGGATGGCGGTACGGTGGACAATCTCTGTGCGAGGTGCTGCATAATTGATGAGGAAGGGTATCGTGCCGGTTGAGGCTTCGCCCCCGCTTATTTGTTGGCCCGTAGATATATGGATGTCCTGCCGGAGGGAGGGCTCGTGCTTGGAAATTACCGGGACTCGTGTTTGGAAAACAAACAAACGACGGCGAACAAGAGTGGAAAATGTAAATTACAGCGCCTAATTGGACGCCTAAGCGCATACTAGGCATTTAACGATTTAACCTTCGATTCCCCGCCGCAGAACTCTAATTAAAAACCACTGAAAACGGAGGTCCTTAGCAGCGGTACGAGGACGAAAATGGCAGGTAGCAGGACTGCCAGGAAATGGGGCCTCCACTTGCCAGCTGCGTTTTCCGCATCCACAAATGGAACCGAATCCAAGTTGTCTATGTCCACATTTATATAGTTCTTGTACAAAACGCGATCGTTGAGCGGCTGAATGGGTCGGAAATTGTTCTTCAGATGATCATCGTTGGCTGTCAACAGACGAAAGGCGTTCAGCTGGGAAATAACGATTACAAATTAATTAATTTTACGATAAAATTATTATTCAATAAAAGAAATAATTACCTGCTTCTCCGTGATGTCAATGGGAGCCGTGAAATCGATCCAGGTAACCTCCTCACTGCAAGGTGGAGTTGTCAGAGAACCCGTATAGCTGAAGTAGCTCTCCAAATGCTTGGAAATATATTCTCCCAGAGGAAGTGGATTGGTCATGTTCACGGATTTGCCCTTCCGGTCAATTTGGCTGAGCAAGTTGGTGAAGCCCTCATAACCCCCAGTTGAATTGACGCCAATCTGAAGTTGTTAGAAATAATTAACACCGATTATATTATAATTTTTTAATAAAATCTTACCTGAAAGAAGAAGGCCATAACGGCGATGCCATGATCCTGTCCCAGAGCGCTAGCAAAGTCGGGATATTCCAAATTCCGTAGCACCACATGGAGTTCGGCGGGATAAGCACGATTATTGATCAGATCCTCACTGCCAATCGTATCGTTCTCGCCCCAATGAAAGTGAAACTGCTCGAACTGGTAGCCCAAAGGTGTTTTCTCCGCCAGAGGACCACCCCTAACACTTGGCACCGTGTCCTCATCGAAACTCATCTTCACCAGCACCGTGTGACCATTGTTCGACATTTGAAAAGCCTTAGGAATCACATTGAAATTGAAAAACTCCAGATTGGGAAACTTCTTCTCCACGGCATTGACCAAGTCGATATTTATGGGACTCTGATGCTTTCCGCTGCAACGGGCATAGTCCTCACCCCAATGCTCGGGTCCATGTCTACCCTCGTATCCAAAATCTTGGGCCAAGACCACCGAAGCTGAAATTAGAAAGTGCGTATGTTTAAAATTTATTCATGCGGTCGTTATTGACGTAAATATTAGGTATTGATCTTGGCCAATCCAAGTATAAAATGATATTTACTTTTCCTTTGAGGAAAAACAAACAGAGACTGCTAACCGATCGTCCCCAGGTGCTAATTGAAAGATAAAGTCGGTGACATTTCGTGACATCGAGTGGGTGTGCAATCAGTGATACCTGTTTAATAAAGCTATCTACTATTTTTGTTCGCAGCGAAATCTATAAATATGCGCTATGTGTGTCCTATTAATTTTGCACATTTTATTAATGCGTCGCCTGTCGTCATTGGGAATCAGTTCAGCCAGCTCAAACATCAAGACACCCTTAATTGCTCAATCAATTAGCATTAATCGACGAACAATTAAGCGTGTAAAGTTTATTTCACTTTGCCGGGAATTTCTGTGAACTATTCAAGCCATAGAAAAGGGCGCAGCTGTCAGTTATAAATACGATCTGTAATATTTTCATTTTGCATACAAAAGCCGATATTTTAAGCCAATTTGTGGGTCACACAAAAAATGCTAACAAAATCAGCAGGGCCTCCAAACCAAATTATTTTCCATTAGCGGGTTACCTAATTTATGGAAAATTTGAGTTAATTATCGACTAATTTCTATTAGCGTCAGTTTAGTATATTGTTCCAAACGTAGCTCACACCGGGATTAAATATGTTTAATACTTAATAGGATAATTAAAAAACACTGTGGAGGCAATCTTCCATCGAAAATATTCCCATTTCACTCATTGTGATTTTTTTACGACACATATCATGCGGTTTGGTCATGTCTGATTTTGATGATCACCATGGACAGTGATGACGAATAATCAAGAAACCCCGAATGGCAGGTACAAGGTTGAAGATCAATCAGGTGACCGACTCGCAAGTGGCTATTATTAAATTAAAAGTTCTATCACAAAACTAAGACCTCTAAACAAAAAGATTATTTAGACTTCTCACTGTGATTTCCAGCAGGTTTGTTTATTGATTTACAACCAAGATAATCGGGTAGTTATAAAACTATAATGATTTATTTAAACATTTTATATATCATGTAAGATACGGTTTCAACGTATCTGCATTTATAATCTCTGACAATTTTGAAGTAGATTTGTTGGGATCAAAAAAAAACAGTTCTACATGTTTATAAAGTCTTTATTTTACTTCAAACCAAAATATTTATTGTTTTCGGATTATTGTGTCTTTATCTTAGTAATGTGCTGTGAAGCAAACAAAACCAAAATATTTTTACATGACATCACAGTTTTATGAGAAATTTATTACAGCCTTGACAATTGTTTAAATATTTGCTGTACTTAGTTATGAAAGCACTTTGCCGGCAAAGGATGATAGCATATCGTATCTTGATTAACGCACTTTTGTCAATAGTCCCTCATTATCAAATGACACCTTTGTTTTGCTACAAAGCTCACCACAAATCAAGATCGGGGCAATGACGATTGCCAGTGGGGTATTGCGACACCTTCTCATGGTTACACTTCGCTATGGAGAGACTTTCCCGGAACACTGGCCTTATCTGGCTATCGGCGCGACTAATTTATGAACTAAAACTATTTAAGGCAAGGCTGAAATCCAGCGGCTTTCGTAGGTTTTCCGTTCGACTGTCCCACTGTCTTATTTTCCGTGCTCGCCCGCCGAACGCGGTCACACAACTGCGGTTAGGCCCTCGACGACCCCGCTACTTATATCGCCTCGTCGGAGGTCTGTGTCTACCGATTCAGTTGCTTCTGTTTTTGTTTGCTGCCAATCGAGCTGGAGCCCAGGGGACGGAACTTTCCTATACACTCTACTAGTAAAGAAGAGACCAATTCGGGGCTCAAGCCCCATAGTATCACAGCCTATAGCCTATGGAAATTTTCATACACTATGCTGAGTTAGTGTTTTTGTCTTAGCCTATATGAGTTCTGAATAAATTGGTTAAAAATAGAATACATATAAAAAGCGAAAAACACACAAAACATATACATATGTAATAATATTAAAAACATTTCCATGCCTGTTATATCTGTATCATATTTAAATTGCAAATTTTAAGTTTCAAAACACAAAAACCCAACATAGTGTAAACATTCTCATAAAGGTTAACCATCCGGATGACTTTACGTTGCCCTAACCTTGCCATTGAGTCGCGGAATTTGGGTTACTTGGATTACTACTACAACTATTCCACTCAATTTGATTCTATAAACATCAGCGGTACAGTTTTAAGTGTTTCTTTATTACACTGAGCTCTCCAAAAAAGTCACCGACCTTTAAATATCCCATTATAATGAGTGTTTATTAGGCATGGCTCATAATAATAAACTGTTTTTTACCACTGTCTAATTAACAGAACCGAAATTAATAGGCTTTAGATTGCTTCAATTAAACTATAAAGTTTTTTACTCAAATAGGCATTACGTTAAAAAGATTACAATTTGATTAAATTGTTTTAAGTAGATCTCATCCAATTGGGGAGAACAGGAACACACTGACTATTTTTATTTAAATATCCAAAACTAATTGGTGTTAAAAATAGTTCCTAAATTAATAATCATGGGTGTGTTCCTGCATTATCACTTTTGAAGCTTTTGAAGTTTTCCGTTAGTTTAGTTACACCTTACATCATTGTGTCTCTTTGATAGCTTCTATATGCCGAGGAACCTGAGGTAGCAAAGGGTATGCACGATTCGAGAAGTGAAGACCCCGATTAATTTATAGCCGAATGACTAATTGCGTGCGTGCTGGACTCAAGCGTCGTTTTTTGATGTCGATGAGTAACCGCCGACTTGGATGACTATGATGGTATGATAAAAGTGGTCATCTAAGCCGGGGAAAGACCGAAAAACGAGACTGGAAAGTCAAATTACGATTGCTCGAGCGACTGTCGAAAGCCCTCGAAAGAGAGTGAGGACTTGAGATTCGAGGGGGTTACAAAACCGCAGGCTTTCGATGATCGACACCCAGCAGTATTGTTCATAAGTATGCTCAAATGTGGCTGGAGAAATGTGGGCGATTGAAGGGCTTATCTCTATATATACTATATCTGCGCTATACTTAGGCTGATTGCTTTGTTGTTTATCTTTGCATCACATGTCGCAGCCACAAATCGTAGTGCAATGTAAATGCTCAGGGCACATTAAATGGCATTACTATTGCATGCTAATCGCATTGTGCAGCTTGTTTGCCTTGCACTGCGTAACCATTTCCCCGACATGGATAGCTTTTCACTTTCCCTCGAAGGGATCAATAATTCTCAATCTATTAAATCTGGCAAACAGATTAACGCAATGCCATTTCATTAGATTGTTCATCAAACGAGCCCATCAGATTTACACTTTTTTATGGGTTTCAGCTTTTGGGCTGGCCAAAAAATAGGCAACAGCCAACTAACTGATTACTAATTCAATAGGCATAGTATTATTGTTTAAACCGGAATTTTGCATTAATTAAAGGCAGGGCAAAACTGTATCAATATGCCAAGACATTTGAGTAAAAGCTATATGATTAAACTTATATTATTATAATTTAACTGTTTTAAATTTCAAATTTTAATTCTAGCTGATAAAGAAGTCTACTTAGGTATATATAACTATGTTTTTTAATTAAACAATTAATTATGCCATATATGGAGCGAAAACAATACGGATTTAATTGACTACAAAATAGTTTAAAACGGAATTTGAACCTTACGAATGCATTTATCTGTTATGTGAATAGATCAGTAAAGCAATTAATTAAAAGCAGGAAACGGATTATCGTAAGTTTAGAAATGCGTTCATTGCTTGGTTTTTTGTGGATACTTTTGCGTGTATTTTTTGGACCACTTACCGCCTGACTCATCCCGCGAAGTTAGGCTTTTGACAATGGAAATTTTTACCGGAGCTGTTAAGCATTTTGCATTGTCGTTCATCTGGGCAAACTGAGACTCTAAAGAGCGAGTGAGGCGTGTATTAAAACGACCTCCGTGATATGTCAAGCGGGAACATAAATGTCTGGTTCCACGAGCACAATGTCTACAATCTGGAAAAGTTGCGCAGAGAACACTTACGCTTATGCCCCGCTTTATAATAGACTCTTTTTGTATTCTTATTTCTATTTTTTTTTTTTTGTACAAGTCACTAATTACTCTGCTCGGATTTTTGGGTTGGGAAAGGGGAAGTACAGAAGTACTCGCCGAGACAGGGACAGGCATCAGAAACAGAGAGAGTAAGTGCTTTTTTTCGTGCTTTGAGTTAGGAAACTGAAAACAAAATATACTACCAACCAGCGGCGAATGCGTAAATGTGGTATAATTTAGTGCCACAAAGCAAAACTTTTAATATCAGACCCGGGAAGACGACCTGCAAAAGTTCGGTGGTGTGTTTGGCCTGCACATATAAAAATGAATGCGACATTTTTTGTAATACTCTTTGAAAGAGGTTTCATTGGGAAAGGGGTATGGGTAATGCTTGCTGAGTCTATAAAGTATTTTGAAAGAATAAGTTTTATTTGTTTCCCAATTTCTATATACGTGAAAGGATAAAATTAACATTTAAATGAAGATAATTAAATTTACAGTCATTTCAAAATTAACTTCTGGATTTTCTATAAAAAGTTAAAAATAAACAGGATTGTAAAAAAACCGAAGCATAAGCCATCGATTTTTTTCTGGCTATTTTTTTTGTCACGCAAGGGTATTAAAATATCACAATGGCATTTAAGTAAACATCCATTAGAGCTGAATGTTTTTTTTTATTTTCACTGATTACAAGCCCTCGCTTTGGCCAAGTTAAACCAAGAGCACTTGCCAACAGCTAGCACAAAAACGACATGGTACTTCGCAAAAAAGTAGGTACACAAATGAATAAATCGGCACAAACGTAGAGAGTTCGGCCGTGCAAAGGTAACCCCAGAGCATTACCCGTAATTGTGGCCAGGTTTGCAGTAGGCCAGACTACGGCAATCGACACCGTTGTTGGACAGGTCAGAAAGCTGGCTCAGAAAACAAACGGCTGTAAACAGCTAAGCCATCAGCAGCCACATCAATAATCATTAGAATTAGACCCGCTGGCATTTACAAAGGGGATCGTCAGGGGGGGGAGGCTGAAAAGGGAAAGCGGTCTTTATCCGTATTTATTTTTAATTAAAGTGCAACTGCCGACTGGCTGCGGCTGGCTTTGCTCAATTTACGGACTCTAAAATAGTTCATGACGATGCTAAACCAGAAAAGTGCCGCCAGTTTGTCATCGCCGCTCGAACTCTATCATTTCGTACCGCAGTCAACCGCATAAATTCCTCGAAATGAACAATAGACCAAGGTGTTTATGAGCTGGTTAATACTTTGTAATAACCTTTTTTGATTCATGTGCCTATTGAGCCATGAAAATCTGTTCTAACTGAAATAGTGTTGAGTGTTGAATTGAGGTGGCCGATTTTTTAATTTTAATAATTAGAAGATCCTTATAATCGGAATCAAGACTTTAATCTTATAGTATTGGAGTCCATATATTAAATGATCAAGAAAATATTTTTTTAAATATTTGAAAGATATAACAAGCATATACCTATAATAAATTTGAAAATTGAAGGTCTACATATAAATATAAATAAATATTAATATTGAATTGTTTTTAAAAATGGAAAAGATTGATAGAGGTATATTATAAATTGGTTTATATGCTGATGACATATGTTAATAACTTGTGACTATTGCCAAAAACCCATGTTACTCGTGTTCGGATGCGGCGAATAATTTATACCCTTAGTGTATCCACATTCAGTCCTGCATTCCTACAAACCTTTCCCAATACCGCATCAACGTAATGGTATATTCTGAAACATTAAATTAAAATCTGCATTATAGGGTTGCGGCTTTTTTGACACGCACACCTGTACCTCAATAGACCCCATGAATTCGAACAGGCAGTCCTTATCAATGAACATCCCCCCCCACCATCACCCCAACTCACCCAGCCAAATTACAGAAACCATTGACTGACCGACCGGCAAACCGATACTTCTGGCCTACAGAGACTATCTCGAGGCATTCTTCGTCTGCCGAGTTCAAGAACAACACACAAGTGGCCGTAATGAAATGTGAACAGCCTTGGCAAATATGAGCCAACAAGCCAACTTATGCTGGGTGTAAAAAAAAGAAAACCGCATGCTGTATTTAAGAGCGGTGCAAAAAACACTTTCTCTTTTGCGCCTGCTCGCTCGTTCGATTTCTCTTCAGGCATCCTGGGCTCGGGAAAAAGGATGCCGACAAGCAACAATTTTCATTGATAAAAACAGCAGCAGCTGGGTCCTGAAACTCAGTCGCACGCGAGTCTTCAGTCAGTCAGTTGGACGCTCTGGGATATTACGGATGTATCTTAATCCCTAAGCCATTGGCGGTATAATTAAAAATTGCGTATACGCCGCGTGTCAACAAGTAATAGCTTAACCATCGCACTCAAAGCCGCTAAGTCGTCAAAGGAAAGGCTTATAAACTCTGGTGGCTATATTTTTAAAGCATACCTATAACTTTTCCGGGTAATCGCCGGAAATTGAGTTAAAGTTTAGCCATTGGCGTTGACCAACTTTTAGACCTCGCTGCTGATGATAAACTGAGAACTAAACTTTGTAAAGACTCAGCTCTATTCGGAACCAAGTGGTCTTGGAAATAAAAAATGCAGAATTGAAAAGGACACAATTCGGTGGAAAATCA